CAGTGCTGGGGGCGCCTCGCGGGACCCAGATCCTGCTCGATCCCGAAAGAAAGCGTCAGAAGGAGCCCGGATCCCGGATCGACGCAACCCCGGAGATAGAGATCACCAAGATCGAGACCGCTGTTCTCACTGTGGGTCGAGGAAACACACCGATTGCTGGAAACGCCTGACATGCGAAAAGTGTGGAAAGAGAGGCCATCCAACGGATCGCTGCCTTTACGCTTGTCGCGGATGCGGAGACGTCCATGAGGCAGTAGAATGCCCCATGGAGGAATTCTACATCAGATCCGCAAATGGTACGATCCGACTCGACACGCCGGGCTGTTCCCCGAACAAGTCGAGAAGATGTTAAACTAGGACGCTCGCCGGGTTGGAATCCGGTACGAGCCGAGCGTTCTAGATATTGCATCTACGCCTACGTGAACAAGGCGACGGAAGATCGAGGTAGGAAGGAGTCGGATCTACGCGGTAATACATGTAATTTGCATTCGTACACAGCCAAGATCGCGAGTCTTCCCCAGATCAGCGAATTCAGCAGATCCAGTACGGAAGTGGCTTTAGATCTCAAACGGGGAGAGTCCCGGGGCTATTGGAAACGTTATTCCCCGGGGTAATGGTTCCGACAAGCCAATATCTCAGGAAGGATAAATCATGAGAAAGCGATCCTCCTCTTAGACACTGGTGCTGAGGTATCAATCTTGGATACCACCTTTGCTCGTAAGGTGGGATGCAATTTTGACACCAGTCAGAAACAGGAATGTGTTGGAATCGGTGATAACGTGTATACTACGGAAGGAAGAACCAAGATCAAGATTACTCTAGCGGGGTACCTGGTATATTTTTTCGACATCTGGATCGGAGATCTATCAGGACAAAACGTGATCCTGGCCATGGATTTCGTGGTTCCGGCCGGTGTACGGATGGATCTCGCCGATGGATCGATGCGACTACCTGATGAAGTGGGGATACCGCTTAATGGTCGTAAGAGACTGTATGGCGAGAAGGTGAGATCGGTTATCCTCGAACGATCTCTACGAATCCCGGTCGGTCATGCAGAAGAAACAGATGTGCGAATAAAATTGTCGGCTACAGAAAAGTTGTGGGTCACCAGAGGAGAACGATGGATACCGACAGTTACGGAAGGTCTCGGTCGGATCCGCTACCTGGTGATCTCGAACATTGGAGATAGGATCCTACGACTAAATCACCGTCTGGACGTCGGCATGATACTGGGCCAGGACAAAGTGCCCCGATCACCAGGGTTTGTGTCCGTCGGGTCACGCCGCTATCGGGAATGGCAGAATCTAGCATTGGAATCGACGGTGGATACTAGAACGGACTCCCCGGAACCCATAGAGGACCTTGCGGAGCCGGCAGTACCAAGCCACGACCATCGTATCCCTCGCCACGATCGATACTCCACCGGCCGAAATCCGATGAGATCGACAGAGATCGATCATTGGTATCGACCCTGGAGTCTCGACCGAGGGCGGGAATGGCCGATGCAACTCAGATCGAGGCAGGATTCCCCGATCCGGGACGAGGATGCCCATCTGCGCCAGCGACTAGCCCCGATCCAGATCGGTACCTGAGCGGCGATGCTGAGGACGGCGGGATAAGTGAGAGCATGCCAGACCAGGCCACCGATCGGACGGGCACCCAATATATCAAGACAGAGAATCGGACTGGCAACAAGGATATCGAGCCAAAAACAGAAAATCAAACCCAGATCAAACTCGATCAAGGCCAGATCAAACTCGATCCCGATGCAGAACCCCCGATCTGTCCTACTGAGGGCGTCGAACATCGAGATCCGCCGGCAGAAGGACCCGCAGCGACCGTCCCACAGGCCCCACAGGATGCCGAGGATGATGAGATATATTACCATTACAGTGGCGGTCTCTCAGCGGAAGATCTTGAAGGAAACCTGGCCGTCCTCCCCGACATCCCGATCTCGACGACCGCGAAGGTCAGCATCGAAGATCTGCAGGTGGGAGACTCTGGATCGGCCACACCGGAGGAGATCGAGAGACTTCGGCAAATAATCTGGAAGAAACGACACCTACTGATCGGAAAAGGGAACGCCTTACCCCCGGCGGTCAAGGGCGTCGTGTGCGACATCGATGTTGGAAACGCGAAACCGATCGCACTGCGAACCCGGCAAGCGCCCACGCGATTTCGGGAAAATGTCGCAGGCCCGATCAAGGGTCTACTGACAGCCGAGAGCATCCGACCCTCGACATCACCATGGGCCTCACCGATCGTGATTGTTCGCAAGAGTAACGGGGTGGATATCAGATTGTGCGTTGATTACAAGCTGGTAAACAGCCTCACGAGGATGATGGTCTACCCTATGCTCCTGATCAGCGATCTACTAGAAGATCTGGATAAAGCACTATGCTACTGCTCGTTAGACATGGCCAGCGGATTCTGGGTCCTGCCCATGACGGATCGGGCTCGCGAGATCTCAGCTTTCACTACTATTCGAATGGAGTCGCATGCCTTTTGGTCTTAAGAATGCCCCACAGATTTATCAGCGCCTCGTAGACAACGCGCTGTATGGATTTTTGAAGATCTCGCGATCCGGTGACGCTGGGGCCACAACGGATGTGTTCCAGACCGGGATCGCGGATGATCCTGATCGCGAGTCGGTCCTGGGTCGGAGGTCATACATCGACGACATCATGATCGCAGCGGAATCGTGGGACCAAATGTACCGAAGAGTGGAGGATCTGTTGGAGGCTTGTGATAAGTGGAATTTGTCGATCAGTGTAGCCAAGAGGTGTTGGGGCATGGATAAGGTAGGATATCCGGGACATCGAGTGTCGATGGGAGGTTTGGAGGCAAGCCCGAAAGACCTGAAATCGTTGACTGATCTGCCGTTCCCCGGATC